TTCAAAAGGTACAAAATTTACCTTACAAAAAGTTCTTCAAGTGGCTGGAGCAATAACACAGCGGGTAGGGCATTTGCCTTGCACACGGCCAACCCGGGTGCAATTCCCAGTATCCCATATGGTCCCCTGAGCTCTGCCAGGAGTAATTCCTGAGTGCAGAGCCAGGAATAAGCCCTGTGCATTGCCGGGTGACCCAAAAAGCAAAAAAAAAAAAAAAAAAAAAAAAGTTCTTCAAGTAGATCTTTGGGTTATCAAGTTTCATTTTACACATGGAGAAACTGAGGCTCAGGGGGGTGAAGTGTCTTATCCTGAACTAGGCAGGACTAGAGCCCAGTTCTTCCACCTTTTTAGTTGTTGTTAGATTTTTGGGTCACAGCAGTGATGCTCAGGGGTTACTCCTGGCTTTGCACTCAGGAATTCCTTCTGGCAGGCTCAAGAGACCATATAGGGAGCTGAAAATCCAACCCGGGTCTACCGCATGCAAGGCAAGCGCCCTACCTGCTGCACTGTCTCCACTCCCCCAGTGCCTTCTTCTTCATTTGCTGTCAGTCCAGTGGGTCCTGCTGTCTCTGCTTCTAGCTGTAGCCTGAACCAACAGGAGCAATTCTTGTTGCCTCTTGGACCACAGCTTTTCCATCTGTTTAATGGAAGTAGCCCATTCAGTCTCAATTCGGCAGATAGTACTGGGGACCTGCATGTCAAAAGCATCAGGTAGGGCAGCCTCCCTCTGGTCTCCTTTCCTTCTGGAACTCCCCCCGCCCTCCCCCCCACACACACACACTATCAGCTCAGTGACCCTTCCATCCTGCTCAGTGCCAAACATGTAGACTTTTCACTTCCCCTTTATTATCACCTCATTTGTAGGATTTTAAGGGTACCTGGAGGGAGTGAGGAGCTCACACCTCCAGTTCCGCTTTTCCAATATCTCTTCCTCACTTGTGAAAATAACCTTATTATCAGCATCTAACCTGCAGCGGCGTATGGGGGCACGCGGATAAATAAAAGCAGACAGAACCGGGGCAGGGGAGACAGCACAGTGCTGGCACCGGGGACTGTCCCCTAGTCCTTGGGGGTATCCTGGAGCGGGTGTCAGGATCAGCAGAACAAAAGGAGGCCCAAAGTAGCCCAGGAGCCACCTGCCTTGGGCCCTTGTCTCCTCCTCGTCCTCTGCCCATCAGAGACCCTGCAGGAAATGGCTCCTGGGCTCCCAGCTCCCCCATCTCCTGGCCGCCTGTCCGGGATTGGGATTGATTCTCTGGCAGCTTCTGCTCTGAGCAGTAAATGAAATATCGGTTACCAGGAGTGAAGCGGGAGGCAATTAACCCCTGGCCCTCGCGATGGCAAATGTGTTTGTAGCACACAGAGGCGCATCGCCGCACACACCTGCCTGGCCTTCCTGCAAAGTCATCCAATTAGGGCAGCCCCCGACACTAGGCTGCCACGGCCCCGCGGGGGCCCCGCGACCCCACACACTGGCCCCTGGGGCAGGCAGCCGCCTGGGCACAGACTGGTTTACTGGTTTGTCAGTCCCCATGTGGATGAGCTCCGAGGGGCACCTGCAGCCTCACACCCCCGAGGCAGCAGGGATAGGGTTCGTTAATTAATCACACATCTCTGTAGAAGGGGAGGTCGGGCAGAGCCTCCTTCCTGTGCAGTGGAATGGCTGTTCTGCCCGCCCAGCCACCTGCCGGCCTGCCCTGCCCCCTGGAAATATGTCCCTGAGCCAGAAAAGCTCCAAGGGGGAGGGACACACAGGCCATTATCTCTGGGCGCCCCCATCGGATGTGGGGTAACTTTCCTTCGGAAAACCCCAGTCCCCGGGCCTGGGCTCAGAATGCTTTGTCTTATTTATTGGTTTTTTTGGATGGAGGGGTTGGGTGGTGGGGGTGGCATACCTAGAAGTGCTCAGGGATCACTCCTGGCAGTGCTCGGGTAGCCAGAGGTGGTGCGAGGGATAGAATCAGGGTTGACGGCATGCAAGACAAATTGATTTAACTACTGCACCATCTCTCTGGGCCTGTTGGTTGGGTTTTGGGATCATGCTGAGCCGTGTGCAGGGGTTACTCCTGGCTCTGTGGTAGTCCTTGTGCTTGGGGGATCAAAGTGGAGTTGGTGGCATGTAAGGAAAGTACCTTTACCCCTGAATGGTCTCTGCAGACCAGAAAGCCTGGCTTTATGAGAAAGTGGCATCTCTCTCAGAAGCACTGGGAGGAGAGTCCTATCCCCAGAGCCCAGGAAAGCCCAGGTCCTTTTCACACCCCATCCCTGGGGCCACAGTCTGGTGGAGGCCACAGGTCTGGTCTTGAAGAAGCTCTCCAGGGATAGAGTGATAGTACAGTGGGTAGGGCACTTGCCTCGCATGCAGCCAACCTGGGTTCAATCCCCAGCACCATATATGGACCCTGAGCACAGAACCAGGAGTAAGCCCTGATCACAGTCATATATGGCCCCCAAACAGAACAAAAATAGAAGCTCCTGTGCAGATGATGGAGACATGTTTCTTGCCCAGTCTGAGGCCAGAAGGAAGACTTCACCCTTGGGTGTCTCCGGAGGGAGTCATTTCTCAACAGGTCCCCCTGCAGCCTCAGGACAAGCAGCTCTACCAGAGGGACAGACTAACCCTCCAGAGAGGAAGAGAAAGTGCTCAGCCTCAGCTGGTCCTGGTGATGCCACCCTGGCAAGTTGCACGTTTTCCTCCAGAACCTGATTTCTTCATTGGCAAGATGGCATGTTTAGGCCCGTCTCCCAGAACGGCGGGGGGGACCCCCGCCCCCGGTCTCTGGAAAGCCAAAGCAGCTGGATGATGTCGGCGCTCCCCATGGGCTAGAGAACAAACTTCAGGAGAAACAGAGGATGGACCAGTTCCCCGTCGCCCTCGGGACAGTGGGGAGCCCCCAGGAAGGGTGGCTGGATAATGCTGAAGCAGTTGTGTGGCCACTACAAGAGTCACGGGGGGCCGTGGGTGGCCGGGGCGGAGGGGGAGGGAGGAGCAGCTAATCTAATAGCTCGTCCCAAGGAAACTCTCGTTCCAGTCAGACCTGCCAGGAGTTTTATTGGGTTTGTGAGGACCTGCAGATTTCAATCTCCAGACCCCACAGGGAAGGAGCAAGCATTAAGCTAATTTTATTAAATGATCACAGCTGGCAGTAGGGGGACGTAGGGGAGAGCAGGGAGGACAAAGAACGTCATTGAAAACGGCCAGTCCCCGACAAGGGTCCATACATGGGGCCTGACTTGGAGGGAGGCCACCCCCCTTCCGGTCCCTCCAGCTGAGCTGGCCCCAGGGGAGGCAGACCAGCTGGGATAGTTCTCAATGGAGAGCCTCAGGCTTCTCTAAGAAGTGCACCCCAAGTCCGCTGCGAGGGCAGATATCTGGAAATGCCAGGGGCTTCTGCAGGAGGGAGCTGGAAGTGTAGACCTTGGGCCTGGAGCTGGGGGCTGCCTCTATGCCATCCCTCCTCACTGCTGCACTAGAAACCCCCCAATTTTTTGTTTTTGGGGGGCCACACTCAGCAGTGCCAGTGCTTACTCCAGGCTCTGCACTCAGGGATCACTCCTGGAAGACTTGGGGGACCTTAGGGGGTGCCAGGATTGAAGTTGAGTCAGCTGCATGCAAGGCAAGCACCTTACCTGCTGTATCATAGCTCCAGCTCAGAAACTCTGAAATTTGTGAGAATTATGGTGTAGTGACTAAGAGCATGGTCTGTGGCTCAGGTTCTGGCATCTGTCTCTTCCGTGCTCTAAGCCTTGGCAAGTTCTTTCAAACTGAGCCTTAGGAACCTCCTTGAAAATGGATATAACAGGGCCAGAGAGATAGCACAGTGGGTGGGGCACTTGCCTTGCCTGTGGAGGACTCAGGTTTGATCCACGTCGCCAGGGGTGACACCTGAGCACAGAGCCAGCAGTAAGCCCTGAGCACCACCAGGTGTGGCCCAAAAACAAAAACAAAAAAGAAGAAAAGAAGGAAAAATGCATATAATGGTGTCTACTTTGATGGCCTTTGGGAAACTTCCTGCCCATCTGTTCCACCCCACCTATCCGTGGGCGGGCGTCTGTGAAGCTCTTGTTTGGTGCCTGACCCAGAGTGGGCACTCTAAATGCTGCCATCTCGCCAAGTCCTGTCAGTGTGGCCTCACGGCCCCATCACAGGACAACGGGGGGGGGGGGGGGGGAACTGCGTGTCTCCTCACAAAGAAGCAAGGAGTTCTGGGACTGAGGGACAAGAACTTCAGGACTGTGTCCTCTTAAACAAACACCTTCCTGGAGGAATAAACCTGCTACCAGGGCGCTGGACCACAGCAGGGGAAGCAGTTTTTCACGCTTGGAAGAGATGCAGGACAGAGAACAGCGGGGTTTATTGAGCACATGCTAATCCGTCTGAACCCTCAGCCCCTGGTCTCATCACCTGCACTGCAGAGCCCACCACGCTGAGGCCCGGGGTGACACGTGTGGCTGAGGTCCATGGTACGTGAAGCGTGTACCTTGTGTGGCAGTGGGAAAGGAAGGTGTTGCTTGGCATCACACAGGGGGGTGGGGTGGGAGGACCCTGGGACAAGAAGGGGGCCTCCCAACTTAAACCTTGCCATGCCTTTGGAAAGCTGGGGTCACACCCACGGGGAAAAAAAAAGGGATGTGTCCACCAGGGCCGCGGATGCTGCCCACGCCGCTGCCCAGGTACCTCCTTCCGGAGCGCCCCTGACTACCCGCTGGTCTCCCTCAAGCCCCTCTGGGTCTGGCAGGGAGCCGGGTGCCTCTGCCTCCCCAGGGCAGCGCCTGAAGCCAGCAGGGTGAAGTGTTTTTATTGTAGCTTTGGTCAGACGGGGTAGCCGGGGACTGGGACCGTAGGGAACGCTGGGGAGTCTTCCCGCCCCTGCCCTAGCCGGCCTCACCCTGGAGCAGGAGGGCGCCATCGAGTCCCGTCCCTAGGCAGGGGCAGGCAAGGAGGTGGGCACTGCCTCCCTGGTTCCCCTCGCCCCTCTAGCAGTAGCGTCGGGCCCCTGGCACGGGCGGGGAGGGCAGCCGCGGCCCGGAGCTCAGTCGGAGTAGATGATGAAGCCAGAGAAGGTGCTGTACTTGTTGCTGTTGCCACCGTGTGCTTTGCCCCCGTCCAGCTTGATGAAGACCTCGTCCCCCGCGTCCAGGTGCAGGATGACGCTGTTGCTGGCGTAGTCGTAGTTCTGGTCTGCGTCCTGGGCTATGGCGCTGGCCCGCACCTGGGGGTGTGCGGGAGGGGAGGAGGAGATGGGATTCGGGAGACACCGGGGGAGGAGGGCATCAGAAGTCAGGCGGTCAGGATCTAGAGCACCCCCCAAGGCCCCTGGCCCCGAGGAGGGGGGTGGGAGGGTTCAGCCTGCTTCTCACTTCTCTCCTCCTTTTCCTCCCCTCCCTCTCTGGCTGCCACCTGGCGAGGCGGCTAAAGAGGTTTCTAGGGCCAATGTCATCTGGGCTGAGTTGGGGGTGAAGGTAAATACTCTTGCTTGCCGCCTCAAGGACCCCACTGTGTCTCCGAGGCACTGCAGACTGGAGCTCAGAGGCTGGTGCTCAGAGACCGGCCTGTCCTTTCAGCCAGTTCTTAGGTCACAAGGGACACAGGGGTCTGCCGTGGCCCCTAGATCACAAGGTTGGACGGTGCCTGGCAGCCCTAAGCCAGTGCCCTTTTTCCAGCGCCCTCTTTCAACTCCTTGTCACTCTCTATCTCCCCACTTGGGCCACACCCCGCAGTGTTCTGGGCTTGCTCCTGACTCTGCGCTCGGGGTACACCCCTGGTAGGGCCCAAGGGACCACATGGGTGCCAGGGATCAAATCCACCTCAGCCACATGCAAGGCTGGTGCCCTTCCCACTGTGCCAGGGCACCAGAGTCCATACTTCCGGTCACTCTGGAGTCTCCCTGGAGTGAGCTGGGGGTCAGTGCTGCCCCTCCCAAGGCCCAGGGGGCTTCTGCACCTGTCTCCCCATCACACTCCGCCTCCGAGTTCTTGAAGCGCCTGGGGACTCCATGCAGGGTGGGTTAAGGAAGGGGTGCCAGGCTGGGGTCCTTCTGTGACCCTGACTCTGACCCTCGTGGGGTTCTGCCACGTGGCTGCGGAGCTTGTTTGGCAGGCACAGAGCACCAGCAGTTGCCTGCGCAGCCAGCCAGCCGCAGTCACACTGAGGGGCTCTGGCTATACTCTGAGACGTTGGGGGGTGGGTGTGAACACATCCCCTCTGGGCATCACGCCTGAACAGCTGAGGCAGGCCGGGCCCCACACCTGGCGTCTCTCCGGGATTTCCTGGGTGTGGAATGGGAAGGAAGGAAACTTCTCCCAGTTCTGGCGTGTGTTGGGGGGTGGGGGAGGTGGTACGGAGAGGAGTTCTCTGGGTCCCGCGGCCTCCGACCCTTGCATGAAGTCAGTCTGTGTGCACCAGACCAGAGTAGGGGAGGGGCCTGTTCTCCCTCAAGGCACCATTGCAGCTGGGTGGAGCCCAAGCTGCTGACTCAGCACCCAAGACTCAGCACAGGGTTGGGGGTGGAGGCTGCGTGTTTGTGTATCTGCATGCAGTGGGCCCAGAAAACCCACTACCTCCCTGCCTCTTACCCTCCACCCCCCTCAGTCACCCTCCTTTTCCCCTTTCCCCGGAAAGGACCCTAAGGTGCATTTATTTTGGAAAAAGAGTTCAGTTAAAGGTGGGGACCAGGAGCTGGAACAATAGTACACTGGGTAGAGCATTTGCCTTGCACACAGCCAACCCGGGTTCAATCCCCACCCAGCATCCCCAGCATTTAATATAGTCCCCTGAGCACTGCCAGGAGTAATTCCTGAGTGCAGAGTCAGGAGTAACCCCTGAGCATCTCCGGGTGTGACCCAAAAATATAAAAAATAAAAAACAATAAAATAAATAAAGGTGGGGACCAGAGAATCAAATAAGGGGACGATGCCGCCTGCAAGAGAGCTGTTAGAACAAGGGTGCGGGCCAGGGATATGGCTCCAAGGGATGATACAAGCTGTGTATGTGGGAGCTTCAGGGTCAACTCCCAGACCCACACGATCTCCTGTGCAGCTCCAGGAGTGGAGCACTGGGCTGGAAGTAGCCGTGGAGCCCAAGAGAAAAAAGAAAAGAAAGAGGGTGAGGATGACTGGCTCGGTGCTAGAACAGAGGTCTCGCTCAGGAATTGGTCCCAGACACTAGGTACCCCCTGCCAGCACCCCAATCTGAGCACTGCTGGGAGTGACACCCAAGAAGGAAAAAAGGGGTGAAAATCTCTTGCCTCATGACTGCCACCTCTGTACAAGTCTTTTGATGGTGAAGAAAAAAAAAATTAATTTTGATGGGACTCTGAGCTCCGAGGAGAGGATTGGAAGCAAACAGCCAACTTCAGTATTGTTCCCTGGGCCTTAATCCTGGTGGTATTTATTATTACACATGCATTTCATTATCTTTGCTAATAAATTACTACTAATAACAATTATTTTTATTACCCAGATTAATTTAGCCTTAACTCATTAAAACTGTGCTTCTTAATAGCCAAATCCATTAGAACACAGTCATCTGTCAGCAGAGATCTCCCGGTGATATGACAGCCATCAGAAGCGTTATGCTTATGTTTATTATTTATTCATCACGACCGTTGTTCCTGTGATTATCCTAATTATCCGGGGAGGCAGGGAGAATTTATGCCCCTCTCTTCTTCGACGGTGGGGGATCCAGGAGCAAAACTCAGGGGTCCTGATTATCTACCCACGACAGGAAAACGTTTGAGGGATTCAGCCTCTCCTGGGGCCCAGGGGAAGTTGAGGGGATTTTGAGGTTGCCATGGAAGCTAGAGAGGAAGCCTGTGATGTGATGGGATGCTGTAGAACTACCTCCTCAAGGCTACCAGGCAGGGAAACTGAGGCAATGGCCTGCTTGGGGGTTGGAAGAGGAGGTGCCCAGGAAAGGTGCCACCTAGCCCTGACGCGAGCAGGTGTAGCTGCTGCTGACTGGCCCGCAGGGCCACCTGTGCTCTCAGGCCTGTCCAGGGTCTCCCCACAGTGTCAGGCACTGCACTGTGCAAGCAGTGGAGGCCACAGGAGACAGCGGGGGGAGGACCCTCCTTTGCCCAGGACAGAAGCGCCACCTCCACCTGCTCTCACAGCACCCAGCCCTGCTGCCCCAGCCTTGCCCTCTGGCACTTGCCGCATTGCCACCACCCTGTGTGCTAGACCAGGGGTATCTAGGCCATAGTGGCCTGTCCCCACACAGTCCCCAGTCCCCGCTCATCAATCTCGACCTCCCGGATACCTGATCTGCCAACCCCAGAGCCAGCTGCAGGTACCCAGGATGCCGCCCTCCCTGACACCCCCCTCACACTCTGTCCTGTGAGGAGTCAAAGCAACCCCAAGGAGCGGCCAGGCAGGAAACTGATGGCCCCTCCAATCGTTTTTTTTTTTTCTTTTTAGGCCACATCTAGTGTTGCTCAGGGCTTGCTCCTGGCTCTGTGCTCAGGGATCACGCCTGGAGATGCTCGGGGGACCATACTGGGGTGCCAGGAATCAATATAGGTCAGCTATGTGCAAAACAAGTGCCCTACCTGCCGTACGATCACTCTAGCCCCTTGGCTCAGCCAGTCTTGCCCAGGGAAGGCCAGGACGTGGATTCACCTCTGCCTTCCTGAAGAAATTCCGGAATCCCATCTCTGGGCACAAAGCCAGGAGGGCAGAACGCTAGCCCAGGTGGCCCCCTGGACTTGGAGACCTGGAGGAGCCAGAACCTCTCCTTCCCACACCCCTGCCTATTGTGGTCTCCATGGCCTCGGGCTGGTCTTTCCCTACACCGTCCTTCTCCCATGCTCATCAGTCAGTGCTCACCCCAGAGAACCAGGTCAGGTTCTGCTGAATCACTCTCTCCAGAACACACGGGGACAGGTGTTGTCACTTTGGTGCCCAGTGCTCCCTTAACCCTGCTGGGATGCATTATTGTGTGGTCACTGCTACCCAATTGTAGTTAACCTCACAGAGACCATGGAGATCCAGAAGGTCCACAGAAGAACCTGAGAACAAGTTGCAAATGTGGCTCCTGGTAGGGACTCAAGACTAGGAGAGACTCAGCCTCCTGAGGCCAGAGAGACACTCAGTGGGTAGGGTGAGGCCTTGCACACAGCCGGCCCCATTAAATCCCCAGCGTTGCATATGCTTTTCTGAACATTGTCCAGAGTGACCCCTGGGCATTGCCTTTTGTGTCCCCGGCCAAGTCTCCTGGATAATCTGGAAGAAGTCACACAAAGGTGGTAGGGACTGGGGGGACCAGGCCCTAATATTTTTCTTTCTTTTTTTCTTTCTTTTTTTTAAATCTTTCTCTGTTTTCTTAAGAGGGAGGGATGGTCTGAGTTCCTGTTAAAATGCTGCATCTAGACCGGAAACATAGGACAGCAGGTAAGGCGCTTGCCTTGCACGCAGCTGACCCGGGTTGAATCCCCAAATCCCAGATGGTCCCCAGAGCACCTTCAGGAGTAATTTCTGAGTGTAGAGTCAGGAGGAAGCTCTGGGCACCACTGAATGTCCCCCCAGGCCCCCCAACAAATGCTGCATCTTTGAAATCCCTTGTTTAAGCCACCTCTTTTTCTCTGCTAGCCTGTTAGCCCACCTCCAGTGAGTACCCCGCCCCCCCATCAAGTTCTCTGTTCTGTGCCCCTCAGTGCAGGGGAAAGAAGGGGCTCTGCAGCCCCTTACACCCCCTGTGACTGAAGCAAGTGTCTGTCCCAAGCATACACTATCTCTGATTCCTCTTCTCTGGGGGTCTGTTGTAACCACCTGGACTGGTAAGGGTGCAGGGCCCACTAGTGACCTAGTGACCACCTCCCTGTCCAGGGAAGCCAAAACCTCAGCTGGGGCCTGTTTCAACTTTCTTTGGAAAAGGAGGAAATTCCATCGATGAAGGTGACACCGCTGCCTCCCTTATTGGTGATTAATAAGGGGGATCATGGGGCTGCTGCAGAAGGAGCCTCGCTGGATCCTGGTGCCTCTAGCTGGGCAGGAACCAAGGACAAAGAGGAGAGACACAAGTGAGAGAGACAGACACTCCAGGAACAGAGAAGACACAGCCAGAGGCCGGAACCCCAGAGGGAACCAGACAGGACAGGCAGAGTTGGGGGAGAGCGAGAGAGACAGACAGACAGAATGAGGCAGGGGAGAGGAAGAAGCCAGAGAGAGAAGCAGGGAAAAAAGGGACCCGCTCCAGAGCACCTGGCTGGCTTTGGCTGACTCCCCAAACCTGTCCCTTCTGCTCCCCAAAGCTAGGCTACTCTGGGGTCCTGCCATGGTGGAAGGGGTTCCACAGGGATTTCCTTAGCCTGTGGAGGTGCCTTTCCAGCCCAGTTTCCACTGGTTTAGCCTCAGTCCCGACTTTAGAAGGTTCCTCTTGTTCCAGAATGCCTGGGGGTGGGGAGGCAGGACTCTGGGATCTGGGGGGGGGGGGGGCTCTGGAGGATATCAAAATAATCTCGCTGGGGCAGGATTAGGTCCAGGTTATTCCTGGGCGGGCCCCCAGGGTGTGAAGATGGTATGGCCCCAGATCTGAGGCCAGTGACTCCCCACCCCTTGGAAGGTGCCTGCAGCTCCAGTCTCTGGGATGTGGCCGGAATGAAGAGGTGTCTCCTTACTCCTCTTCTGGAGTTGCAGCGGGAGACCTACCAAAAGGAGGAGTTTCCATCTCTTTGCCTCAAGAGATTCCCCCTCCCCCTCGAGGCGCTGGGAGCTCCGATAAAGTGGGAAGGGGCCACCAAGTCACCGGGTCTGCGGAGTAACAGGTCCATCCGGAGGGGAGGGGGGGGATGCATTGCAGCCCTGGCTTGGCGGCGCTGCAGGGGCTCCTCTGTCTTTTGTGCCCCAAACACCTACAGCTCGAGCGCAAAGCCGAGCTCCCGGGCAGGCACCCGCGGGCACCGAGTCCGCCTTTCCGCAGGGCCCGCTGTGCCCAGCCCTCCTGGCCCGCTATTCTGAACCAGAACCCCAGCTCTTAGATGCCACTTCCCAAGGGCCAGCCCGCGCGCCCGCTAAGCCCTGCGCTGGTTTCTCTCCCGCATCTCCCTGACACGGAGGTGCCCGGGACGCTCGGGTCCCCACCTGCGCTCCCCGCGGCCCCACTCCCAGGCCAGCCCCCGCCCCGCCGGGCCCACCTGGCCGTTCTTGCAGAGATCCGCCCACATACTGGTGCCGTCGCCGCCGCGCATGAGGACATGGTAGGTGAAAAAGTAGGTGCCGGGAATGTTGCACGTAAACTTGCCGCTGGTCGCGTCGTAGTTGTTGCCGAGGTTGGTGACCACGTCGTCGAACTTGAGCACCTCGTAACCCTCGTGAGGGTTCTTGAGGCCGGCGTAGAAGGCCACGCGCGGCACCGTGGTGTAGGTGGCCGTGCTGATGGCGCCGCTGCCACCCGCGCCGGGCAGCCCGGGAGGGCCGGTCTTGCCCGGCTCACCCTTCTCCCCGGGTGGTCCCACAGGGCCCGGAGGACCCGGATCCCCGGGGGGGCCCGGAGGGCCCGGCTTGCCCGTGCGGCCCGGCTTCCCCTGGGGGCCCTGCACCAGCGTGGAGGGCGGGGGCGCGCCGCTCTGCTCGCTCAGGGCGTCGCCCCCGTCGGGCCGCGCGCCGGCGCCGGGGCCCCGCGCGGGGAAGGGGTCGCACACCATGCGGCAGGTGCCCAGCATCTCATAGTGGCCGTCCGGGCCCCCCGAGCTCACCAGCACCGGGATGAGCACCACCAGCACCAGCAGCATCACCACGCCCGCGGCGGCCGCCAGCAGCGTCTTTCGGCCGGCGCGGAGCCTGGGGAGCCCCGGGCCGCCGGGACGCGCCGTCGGGGCAATGGTGCCGGCGGGCGTGGGGCGCGGGCGGGGCGCCCGCGCTCAAGGGTGGGCCGGCTGGGCTGCGGGCATGGGGTCGGCACCCGGGCGCGGAGCTGCGCTGGAGGCGCCGCGGAGCCCAGCCGCCGACTCCTGCTTCGCGCCTCCCTCCCGCTGCGCGGCCGGACTGCGCGCCGCGGCTGCCGCCTCCTGCCCGGCTCCTCCCGCCGCCTGCGCCCGGCCACGCCCCTCGCTCCGCCCCTCCCGCACTGCTCCAGTAGGCGCCCTCGAGGGGCGGGGATATAAGCGGAGCCCAGGCCTCATTGGACACTGACATGACTATCCCCGCCCACTTGCCAGGCGGGGAAGATGGGCGGGCCCACGGGAGATCCTGGCTAGAACGCGAAGAAGGCTGAGCGTCGACTTGGAAATGCAGGGGACTAGAGCTTTAGGAACCGGGGAAGTAGGGTAGGGGCCAAAGAGCAGATGGGGAAAAGATGTTCACTCATAAAGAGTGCTGAGAACATCGAGGGGGAGTGGGGCACGAGAGACCTCGAGGGTCAATTCCGGAGAAAAGACCCGGAGGAACAAAACGAAGCACCCATTACTCGCAGAGAGAGCGGGACGTGAGGGTTACAGGGAGGGTCTGCAGGGATCTTAGCGATTTGGGGGAGGAGGTATCAGGGAGCAAGACCAACAGGAAAGGGGTGTAGGAGAACTCGTGTAGGAGTTCTCGCATGCCTTGCAAGCGCCACATTGTCTTCCACCCTGGTTCGACTCCAGCAACTCATATAGCCCCTTAAGCAGAGAGCCCGGAATAATATTTTTTTTTATTTTGACACGGTATTTTATTTGGTAGGGGGCACACATACTTAGAGATCACCCCTGGCAGGCTCAGGGGACTGTATATGGTGCTGGGATCCAACCCAGGTCAGCCACATGTAAGGCAAGTGCCCTCACTGCTGTACTATCGCTATGGCCCTGGACAATTTTTTAAAATGCTTTGATTTAAGACTCGTTATGAGCTATAAGTGAATGGTTTAAAATTCTTTCTTTAATCTGGGATTTACAAATAAATATTGGTCCCTGGAACAATGATAAAGGTTTTGCCATCTTGGATTGCAATCACTTAAAAATCCTTCCTAGAAGTGAGCCCTGTGAAAACTCACTACAGCCAGAAGGCTCCTGACCCTTCCCAGGAGAAGTGTGCCAGGCTGAGCACTGCTCCTGCCAGACGAGTGAGTACTTGCAGTGGCCATGCCTGAATTACCCACTCCCTTCCCAAGAGAGCAAGGGCTTAGATCACCCACACTGGCTCTGCCAGATGAGCCCTGTGACGACTCTGTGTGGTCTGGTGGGCTCCAGCACTGCAAGAAATAGTCTGACTCACCACAAGGCACCCATAGGTACCAGATAAGAGTGCTCACAGACACTAGCCTGATTTATGTGAATGGGAGCATTGGATGGCTGCTATAAACACCTGGAATCCACTTTTAGCTTCTCCCAAGAACCAGGTAGGATATTTACCTTGCACCCAACTGACCTGGGTTCAATCCCTGGTATCTCATATGGTCCCCCAAGCATCATCAAGAGTAATTCCTGAGTGCCGTGCCAGGAATAAGCCCTGAGTATAACCAGGTGTGGCACCAAACCAAACCAAACCAAAAAAAAATCATTAAATTCCCTATCAGATTTTTTTTTATTTCTTTACGGAATAATATTTGAAGGGTATGGGGGCTGAGGGGACACACAGGCAGGCAACTGGACGTGGAGAACCTGGAATAGTCCCTGTGCACTGTCAGATGTGACAATGCATAAATAAATAAATGTGCAACATAAATTTAAAAAAAACAGGAAGAGGATTGTAGTGGGGGAGCTGAGTGGAGGGTAAAGGGAAGATAGGGGAGCCCAGCTGACTGCCTGAGAGATCCGGAATCCTAGTCTGCCAGGTGACTATGGCGTTGTCCAGTGGGATGCCAAGTACCGAGCTCCATCACCTGCTCTTCTCTGGCTCAGGCTAGACCCCACCCTCCCCATAGCATGTACCCCCATCTCTGCCCCATAATCACAGAGTTGCAGCACATGCTAAGGTGCTTTTTCCCCGGGAAAGGGGACCTTCTTCCCTCTTCCTGAAATCACTCCTTTCTCCCCGGTTTTAGGGAGGTGGGGCCCCACGCTCTCTCTCCCCACCCCCACTTTCACCAGTGCAAACATGTTTGCTTTCCCCTTTTCCAGCTCCGGAAGGACGGGTTGATTGCACCCAGCTCCAATCCCCATCTCTCCCAGTCTTCTCAGCAGCCCCCTAATTCGTTCCATCAGCCTGTAAGAGGCAATCCTCTTCTTCGAGTGCAGTAAAGTGTTTAGGTTGCATAAACTGAAATGTGTCTGCTCCCATCAAAATATTTGTCACATTATTTGAGGGCCGGCCAGAGCAGTCGCAGAGCTCCTCTCCCGCCCTGGTCCAGCCCAGCAGGGAGGGCTGGGTCATTTGGAAGATGACCCCTCCTGATCACGCTAGCGGTCTTGGCTCTCAGATTGCATCACTCCAACGAGAGTAGGGAGTAGGGAAGGAAGGCAAGGACATCAAGTGGGGTGGCCCTGAGAGAGGACCTTGAAAACACTAACCACAAGCCCAGGGTGGAGAGATGCCCATGGCCCAGAGGGTGTGACCAACCCAATCAATAGCATTTGTTGGGGGGAGGACTGAGAGCATGGCCTGGTGTTTGGCAGAAGCCATCGGCCTTGGTCTCACCAATCCACAGAAAAAGCCCGTTATTACTCTCATCTGCAGGCGGAGATTCGAGAGGCTTTGAAAAGCAAGAGATATGCCAAGAATTACACCCGCATTACCAATAAGGGGTAGAACCCGGGTGCGAAATAGCCGCATGGTCCCCAGCTCTTCCCGCCGAGGACTTGTCCGGACTCCGAAAAAGCCCTGGGTTGTCACTCCTGTCCCCCCACGCGGTCTCCTGGAGCACGGTCCCCGCAGAGCCACTGGGCTGAGGGACAAGAGCGCGGCGATCGGCCGGCGTTAGACCGCACTGCCCTGCGGCCCCGAGCTCGCAAGCACCCGGGGCCATCCTCCGGCCGGCCTCTGGGGGTCATCTGTAGCCGGGGCTGGGAGCGCAGGGCGGGGGGAGGGGGGGGGGAGGGAGGAACGAGGCACCGGGTGGTCACCGCCTCGGCCTGCGCCCCGCCCCCGCCTCGCGGCGCCCGGCTCCGCCCCGCGTCCCGAAGGCGCGTCCGCTCCCCCGGCAGCGCGGGGTGGCGTCTCCGTCAGCCCAGCCGGATTCTCCCCGCTTCGCTGGAGTGGAAAATAACGGCTTCAAACTTTGCAGAGGGGAGCCGGTGCCAGCACTTTAATTAACAGCCAGCGCGGCCTGCGAGCCGGGACCACCCGCTCCGCGCCTCCCCCGGCCCCGCCGGCCCCGCCCGCGCCCCGCCCAGTCCCGGGGAAGTGGCAGCTCGGCCGCGACGCGGGTCGCCTTTTCGTCGCCACTCTCCCTGCCCACCCCGGAGACAGGGAACCTTGACCGAGGCGGAGGGGGGGCTGGGGGGCTGCTGCCTCGGGAGGCATCTCCCCTGCACTCATATTCGTGGACCCCCAATTCTCTGAAACCTGGTTGTTGAAGACGCTGGAATCAAGAGTCCCCGCGTGCCAACCCTCCCAGCCCTGGCGAAGGTCAACCAACCGTCTAACCTGCAGCGCCTCAAATGTCCTGTCGGGGAAGAAGGGTGGTCGTGAGGACTCAATGAGATGTGACGAATACATGGTTGGGACTCCGCCGTCCACCCTTCCGGTGCGTCCTATCCATGGCACCTCTGGTGTCTCAGCTGTCCCCTCTCCCTGGGCCAGCCCTGCTCGGGCTACACACCTGGGTTCTGGGAACTAGATGAGCGTAGAAGACCTACCCAGTGCTCAGGGATCTCCTCTCCCACCACCTGCCAGGACCAGGGACCCCCTTGTCAGAAAGCAAAAAATATCCCCTCACACACATCCCACTGAGCAGCTTTGGGAAGCCTGTGAACCCTGCCAGGGTTGGGAGGTGTGGTCTGACTTTAAAAAAAATTTTAATTGATTTTTTTATTGAATCACCGTGAGATAGAGCATTACAAAATTGTTCATGATTGCATTTCAGTCATACAATGTTCCAACACCCATCCCTTCACCAGTGTAATTTTCCAACACCAGTGTCCTCAGTTTCCCTCTCACCCCTTCAAGTCACCCCTGACACACACCCCAGCCTGCCTCTATGATGGGCACCTCTCCTCTCTCACTCTCTCTCTCTCTCTCTCTCTCTCATTTTAGGCATTATAGTTATAGTTTACAGTACAGATGCTGAAAGGTTATCATCTATATCCCTTTACCTGCTTTCAACACTCAGTTCTTGTCCAGAATGATCATTTCCAGCTAATATTGTCATAACCGATCCTCCTCTATCTTAAGGTGTGGTCTGACTTGGCAGTCTGTTTTGGGAGAGTTGGGCTTCATTCCCTCAGCCCCCTTCATGCCAGGGGTCTGAGGGGTGGATACGGTGGGTGCAGGAAGGTGGGGATGGTTCGGCATTGATGCATGGCTGACTTGGGAAACCGGAGGCAGTGAGGTGGTATTTTGGGGTTCTTTGAGGGAATGCCGAGTGGGCGTGAATGTGTAAGAGACTGCTCTTGTGTGTCTGGGTTTGTGAGCAAGAAAAGGGCGGCTGTGCCCTGACTCATCGCTGGCAAACCTGTGCTCATTGTTCACTTGTTCATTCAGTAAACATTTACTGAGATACTGTCTAGGCATTCATTGCCTAGGTGGTAGGGGTGCTGTGGCCCAAAATGCGAGGCCCCTCTGTCCCAGGGCACACTGGCCAGAAGAAAGGATAAATGCTGATGATGTTTCAGCCAAGCTTTGTGGGATATTCACTCTCTGCAAAACACGGGGATTATCTCATTTAAATTTAACCCATTATCAAAGATTTGAAACTTTTACATGGCTAGGATGGGGGCTCAAAGCACTGGAACTTGTATTTTTGCATACAGGAAGCCAGGGTGCTTTTCTTTTCTTGTTTGTTTATTGTTGTTGTTGCTTTTTGGGTCACAATGTTCAGCAATGTTCAGGGGTTCCTCCTGTCTCTGCACTCAGAAATTACTCCTAGTGGTGCTTGGGGGACCATATGAGATGCTGGGGTTCGAACCATGTCAGGTGCTTGCAAGGCCCAAGTTTTATCTCTGGAGCT